CCTCTGTATTGTTACAGCTGCTGGGTGACCCCTCTTTATTAGGCTGATTGCTTGATAATAATCTGGATGATTGGATGATGTTCCTTCAAGAGGAACTAAAGACCAGAGTTATTTCTTTGATAGGACACTTACATCCAGGCTGGGCCTGGAGTCAGCATTACCTCAATGATTTTTATGCTACAGAAAAGAAGCTATTCACATTTTGAGAACTTGCAGGAGAAATTAGAATTTACATTTGGAATGGACTATAACTGAGGCATGTGTGAACTGGATGCCTCAGCACTTGGGGCATCTTAGTTTAGAGTGAAAGTGAGTACAGTGAGGGATAATATGAGGCAAAGATACATACAAGTACAATGTAAAAATATGGATAGAGTTTGTCTTTTTCTCTCACAATGTTGGAACTTGAGATATCCCCTGCACTTAATTATAACACATAGTTAAAACTATTTGCAGGCATCTGATGATAGTCACTGATTTAGATGGCTTTAAAACAGAGGTGTTGGAGGAGGGGTCAAAAAAGGCCTCAGCCAATAACAAATACACTCCAGGCTTGAGTATTGTGTGAGCCTGGCAAACTGAAGTTTATTCAATAAACCTTGGTTAAACAAACTAGTACAAGATAAAATCCAACCACCAGCTTTTATTTGAAAGAAAGGAAGTAGGAAAGGACCATAGCACCAGAAACAGCGTACACATTTTTATATGTAATGTAAAAAGGCTAAAAAGATAAAGACCAGAGTTATTTCTTTGATAGGACAAAGATTCTTTCCTGCTAGAATCTCTATTAATTAGACTAGACTCAGCTGGATAAAGGTCTGATGGATATAAGGTAATTTCTCATGTACCTATGGTGATATGTAGCAAGAGAGGAATGTACGTAAGTAGTAAAATCCCATCTACAAGTGCTATAAAATTTGGCAACTCAGATCACTACCCTATGTATGTCTATTCAGAACTTAAATGGAGTTTATTTCTGGGCAACCATGCATGCAACTACAAAATAACAGAACTATTGAGAATCAGTGTAAAATTGCCAAATGACCTAATTGCAGAGAAGCCTTCAGTTCCCTACAAAGTTCCTCAATCTACCAATGATTGGCATGAGTATGCAAATGTTATGCAAGATTATGACTGTCTACAAATTTGGGGAAAAGCTAAATTAAGACTTAAATAGGTATGCAGAATGCTTATCTTAGAGCCTGCTCAGCTGTTTCAGGTGCAGAACGTTTTCCTCCATCTGAGCAATGTTCATATAAAGTTTTGTATTTCTTTCACCTAAAAGTCTCCCTTGCTTTTGTCCCACAAGCTACTTCTTCAGCAGTTTTGGAAGTTCACTTTAGCATTTCTTTTTGTTAATTTATATGTTAGAAAGCTGCCAACTAGGCTACTATCCAAGGAAGAGCTAAGTGCACTGAGCTCCATTGTGAGTTTAAGGAGCTGTTTAATCTTGCACTAGGCTGTGTTCCTGGTTGGGGACAGTTTCAGGCTGCTCAGTGGGGAAGAATCTGACATATTTTGGTGAATTAGAGTGTGGTGTTAAATCAGTAAATACAAGATTTCCTTTGGGAGGCATCTTACACTTGAAAAAAACCTACTGTTGATAGATTATGTCTGATGAGATATACGTGTCTATGTCAGAAGCCTCCATTGGACAGCTGTGAAAGTTCTGCCAATGTTACTGCTTAGATAAATCCATGGAATTTCCTCCAGGAGCTGTGCAACATCAGTAAAGATGCACCGGTAAAATTAAAGTGGGATGAAGTTGTGGAAAGGATGAAGTGGTTCAGGGGAAATCCAGGATATGAGTTCAATCACAGTACTTGAATACTTTTACTTTCCACACAAGAACCAACCATGTACAAGAGAGAATATGCTTCTCCACCCTCAGCGCATTTCCACTGGGATGCATGTTAGGCTAGGTTTGTTTAATCATGATTTACTGACTCATAGTTGGCCATATTCACAGCTTATATCCTGAGGACCAGAAGACCAGGGCAGCTGCCTACATCTCTTCAAATTATGTTACCTATGCAACAAATCACACACCAAATGCTACCTCTCTCTACCTAAAATTGCAGTCTCCCCTTGCATGTTTATGGGAGAGCATATATATGAGGGTTGCTTTCTCCTCCAGTACTGTTTTGGCTCAAATCTCCCTTGAGTTACGTTTGGTAAATTTAAAAAGGTCCTTAAAATGCTTCTTTCTTTAGGATGTTTATGAAGCTGGAAGAACTATTAGTTGCAATACCTGATACCCCTTTAAGCTACGACTATGCTGGAATTAGATAACTGATTATTATACTGTTTATACTTTGTGTGATTTTAATGTTTTGCTTCTACAAATAGATGTCTACTTTTTAATTTATTTTAAACATGGGAGTCAAATGAGTTGCAAAGGAAAGATGATCATTATCTCTCTGTGCATGTTAAAATTTAAGAGTTAAATCTTTACTTTAAAATAAAACCCTCGTATGTGCCTTCCCCTTACTTGCAGTGCAATCTCCAACACACTGTTGAAAAGCTGGTGCAACCCCCAATCCAGCAAAAGTGATGCACACTGTGCTAAACCATGGTTTGCACATCTCAATGGCTGGGCTCATAAAACATGCCAAGCCAAAACAAAACAAACTACATTAGGGCAACAACGTATAAACTCCCTTCAAAACATATTATGGAGAAATCTGATGAAGGGAAAGTACAGTTTTGCACAAAACCACCTATCTCGAGTATACATATTGCCAACCCTCTTCCTAGAAAATCAACAGCACTCTTTACTTGCACAAATGAGGCAAGCAGGACCTAGCAACCCACTCAGATAAGCAAAGAGTCAGTTGCTTATAAAATCCAACTGTTACAACTGTCTTTTATACTGTGTCTCTCTATGCCTTCCTGTATCTGATAACTGTGTTTCGACTAAAACCAGTATTACGTCTTGCCATGGAGATCTGCTCTCATTGCAGCCACTGCCCCTGCTGATCCCAGACTCTGACCCCTTCTGACTTGCAGGATCACAGTTCAGCAGAACAAGTTGTTCTTCCCTGGACACACATTTCATGGCAAACACTGAGCTGTACCCTCACAGCCACTGTGGTCTCTGCCCACTTCTCCCACAGGCAGAGACAACCCCACTCCTACTTCAGACCCCCTCAGAAATGCCTCCATGCATCCAGGTCCAAAGACTAATTGCTCCTGCTGCTGATTTGGGCTTGTTCACTCTCTGTGCCCCCAGTGGCTTTCCACCCACTGGGCCAAGCCTGACAGTGTTTGCAAAACATGCTTGAGCAGGCCAGTTAAAAATCTATCCCAAGATCTGTTGCCAACATAGGCAGCCACAATGCTAAGCTTGGTTAATGTTAACCTTTTTTTTTTTTTTAATGGTTCAGTGCAGTGCAGAGTTCTCACATTGTGGGTCATGGCTACTCAAGGGTTGAGAGCAATTGGGGGAGGGTCACAATTTTTAAAAAACCTACTCAGGCTTGCTGTTGAAACCCATCTGGGCTTTGATCCCAGTTTTGCCTGCACAAGCCTACAAAGTTTGAGAACCCTTATAATATGCATACATTAAAATCCAATGGTTAAAAATAAGTATATTTATTTCTGCCTAGCCTTAATCCCAGAAAAATTACTAATGTTATGCACAAGGGGTTACACAAATTCCTGTAGCATTTTAGGAGGTCCCAGCAGAGCAAAGCATGAGAACTCCTAGCTTGGGGTGTTGTGAGATCTCTGACCATTTGGTTATGATTCAATATTTATTTATTTAATCAAATTTATATGGCCACCTGTCTCACACAAGATGACTCTGGGCAGCGTACAACGAAACCAATGATTTACACATATTACAAAATCAGTTAAAACAATTACATTAATTGTTAAAACCAAGACTGCGAGGGTCAAAATCAGAATATTATGCATGATGTAGCCACTGCACAGGCTCCTTGCTTCAGGCCTGATGAAAAAGCCATGTTTTGAGGGCTTTCCAGAAGGCCTCAAAGTGATAAAACAGGTTAAGTCAATAATCAGGTTAAGCATTTGTGAACCAAGCACCAAGATGTGCTGGTCAAGATGCACAGTGGCTAAAGGTGTGGCTTTTACTTCTACACCCGAGGCAGCGCATCATAATCAATTAAAATAATTAAACAATTGTCGTCTCTCGATAAGAGGTGCAGTCAATGCATCGCCCACGGTAAAACAGGTCCTGTGGCTTAGGATGCCACCCCGGGCTCATGCCAGTCCCACCTCCGCCCTTGACTTTCCCGAGGGCGACTTTCCAGACGCGGCGATCGGAGGTGACGGTTCCTGCGCCCCCGCCCATCTCCCAACTCCGGCTGGGGTGCTCAGCCGCCCAATGCCTGATTCAGTTTGGCAAGCATCCGCCGGCTGTGCGGATCCCACTGCCCCTAACGCGCGTGGCTACTGGCTGGGCATGTGCGGAGTTGTAGTCCAACGCAAGGGGAAAGTTGGTTGGGAGAGGAAACCCACAGCCGAGAGAGCACCACGTTGGGGGAGGCTGCGATCTTCGACGGCTGAGGGACTGAGCGCGCGATGCCAGCTCTTCTATTCCCAAGACCTGCCGGCT